ATCAAAAACGTCTATATTTTCACCATCATATAACCAATGTTCATTATCTCGAGCCTTCCCAGACTTTCGAAAAACAACAATTTTAGTTTTCTGAGTATTAGCAGTTAGCTTCCATTTCTCAGATAAAAATAGTAATGTGTCAAGTGACTTTTGAAGTCCCTCCACTGATTCTGATATCAGCGCCATGTCATCGGCATACATAAGTAGAAAAAGGCTTTTTTAACTCGTATGGCATGTTACCTTCTTGTATAAACTCCATCTCACAATCGTTCACATATATTGAGAACATTATTGGCGATAAGCATTCACCTTGAAATAATAAAATCTCATTAGTGAAAAATTCTGAATAAAATCCATCTTACTTGACACATGATTTTGCACATTTATACACTGAAAAAATAATTGATAACAAATTACCTCTAATCCCACATTTTGACAGTTTGGTTTGGTTTCGCATTGTTTAACGTCCTATCAACAGCTATGGTCATTTAAGGACGGCCTCCCCTGTGTGCAAGATGCATGCGTGTAGTGTATGCGTGTGTGATTTGAAAGTTTTAGCCTTAAATTAGATCGATTTACAGTATCAAAAGCTTTCCTGTAGTCGACGAAGCAGCAATATAGTCTATTATTTTGTGAGAATGTCTTATTAGTTAAAGAATGTAAAGCAAAAATTGCGTCTGTAGTTCCATAACCAGATCTAAATCCAAATTGTGCATCAGAAATAATTTCATTTGTGTTAGCCCATGAAAACAATCGATTGTTCACTGTACGAGTAAAAAGTTTCCCAAGACAGCTTAATAGACTTATACCAAGATAGTTACTGAGGTCATTTTTATCACCTTTTTTAAAAATAAAGGCACGATAGCTGCCTTTGCCCATCGCGTAGGAAAATGTCCCTGATCTAAGATTTTATTAAACATTGATTTAATAACGGGTAACATAGTATGTTTACACTCAATGATAAGTTCGTTTATAATGCCATCTGTTCCATGTCCTTTATTTCTTTTTTAAGTTTCTGATCGCAGTAAGGATCTCTTCGTCTGTAATTTCATTATCGAGTTCAGGGTATACACACTGTTACATCTTCATCTGGGTGCTGTTGACCGTCACTGTCCAAGTTATCTCCATCACTAGATGGCACAGGACTTTTGAAGTAGCTACGAAAATCATCAATATTAAAGTTCGAAGTTTTAACCGACTTCCGCTTGCTAAAATATTTGAAGAATAGTCTTGGATTACGTTTCCTCATATTATCAAACATATCACCTTCATCTCGCTTATATTCACGCTTGAGGCGTCCTTCTAATGTCTTATTTGGCCTCTTTGCATTATGTACATTCCTGTGTGTTTCGAAATTTTTATCACTGTTGAATATTCTAAGGAATGATAAATAAGTTTTGTATTTTCGTTTACACTCTTCATTGAACCATGGATTGTCTTCCTGTTTATCAACTGTGTGTTTACCTATGTGATTCACATTTCTCACCGACATTGGTGTTTTTTTTACATATGAAAGGAATGTCATAAAACATGCTACATATTTGTTGCACTGTGTTGTCCGTTTCCTCCTGGGTACTAAACGTGCTGTCGCGTACTAGCGTTTCGAGTTCTACTATTCTTTCATTAACTGCCTCAATAATATCGTCATTGTGTTGATCTGACCATCTGTTTGACACACATTATCTCCCGTTTGGCATATGCGTACTGTTGCGCTCACCAGTGACAGCATCAAATGATATGCAGAGTTCAAAGTGCATGGGGGCGTGGTCAGAGTGTATTGAAACTACTCACAATCAAGTTTGAAACTTGTTGTCAATACGTAGTCGACGACCGACACATGAACAGCGATCCATTAAATGTATAATCGCTGTTCATGTGTGGATGATGTCGTTCGTTCAGTATACGGAGTCCAGTTGTTCTGCACAAGTTCAACATATGATTTCCAAATGTATTCACCGTACTATCTGGGTTCACACGCGGCGGTATATATATATCTCCTGTGTAGTTCACAGTACCTGATACCTGTGCTGTCAGGGTTTGATGTATGGAATCCTCTTGGACAAAATCTGGCCGGTTTCCCGTCCTGCTGTTAAAGTCTCCAGCTATGATCACTTTGCCTTGTGATGAGAAACATTGCATATCACGCTCCAACTCCTCGAATAAATCATTTTCATATGAATTCTAATAATTTGCCTTATAGGGTAGTATACACACTAAACACAGATACACATCTTCAGCATATTGTTTGGTGATCTTTATCCAAACTAACGATTCATCGGTTACCTCACACACACTTACATATTCACTGAGATTTTCCTTATAAATGAGAATCATCCCACCTCCTTGCTTACACTTTGTTTTCGATCGAATAATGCAATTTTGTAACAGAAAGCTTTTAGATTGTGGAATAAATTCATCATTAATCCAACACTCACTGAGGCACATAATATCGTAAAAGATGATATATTTTAATTACCTTTGTTTTCTAATTTGGTCTCTGCTTGCGCGCATTCTCGTTCCTGTCCTATTGGGGGATGCCCGGTGGGTTTGTTATCCTTGAATGTTGTCCAGGCGTTTGACGTTGTCACCTATCCCCGTGGGAGATGCTACTTACATTCCTGCGTGTGGCGTTCCGTCCTGGCGGTGGTACATGCAGGACTCCCTCGATATATAGTCTGTCCCTCACTAACATTGCCTTCTTCCTCTCACGTTTGGCTTGTTTTAATACAGGGTATAGTTGCTTGCTGTTATCTTTTTATCTCCTTGGGAAATTGTTCTGAGATACCTAGCGTTTCCCCTGAAGGAGGTGACTTGACGACCTTACATGCTCCTGACATCTAAAGTCCTGAAAAAGCGCTACTATTGGTCTACTTTGCCCGCGTTTGTTGGGCCCCATTCTATGGGCGCGGTCTATATATCTGCCCACGTCTGGAATATTCAGTTCGACTTCACAGAAATCGTTTATCACCCGTATGCAGTCCTTATTTTGTTCCTCTTGATCCCATAAAACAACAGGCTCTCTTTCATTGAGCTGCATTGAAGGTATGTGACGCTCGTTTTCAGCGACTCCGTTGACGAGTACATTTCACTAATGGCGGCGCGCACCTCTCGTCCATCTGGAATGTCGGAGTTCTCGATTCTTTCTACCCTAGACGTTGACTATTTAATTTCCTCCCTCATCCCCTGAAATATTTTCTCCTCATAACCTTTTATCCGCATAATTCTTGCCAGTAGCTCTGTCGCCCATTGTGGGACACTGTTCATACCGGTGTGAGCCGGTTCTGGCAACCCTTGCACGAGATGTGGCATAGTGACATGTGAATAAATTGGCGAGGCCGATCCGATGAATCCAGGGAACATGAATGATGCAGGGGGTGGGGTATAGTTTATTGAGGGGACGGTGTGGATCAATGTGTATTAATAGAGGAGTCTGTCTCTGAAAATATCTGACTGTTTTGACCGTCCGCTATATTGTTACACTAGGTTGAACAGTCGACGGGTGTGTCCCTCTTTTCAACTTTTCTCTTCAACTTCCTCCTTGCCATCCTCCATATTCAATCATCTCCGTATTCCCTTTGGGTAAATAGATTTTCCCTTTCTATTCCTTCTACCCTTGAACCTCATTGGTGTAGTTTAAGCCATATACAACATGTTTTAGCCGCGATGTCGAAAAAACACGTCCTGCTGCCCTGTCATGCGCACTTCACTCTGAATAATCTAAATCATGTCTCATCCTTAAAGGTCATGTTGAATAGTCAGGTTTTATACCTGTGTGTCTGGTTATGTAAGTAACGTCTACTGTTGATTTTCGCTTTTACTAGAAACACTGGAGTAAGACTGATTGAAGTTTGAAAGTATTGCCAACGTTTCCTCAGACTACTGTGAACATTTCAAATTGGGTTTAAAAGGTTTAAAACTGCATCTACATATACTAGTGTCTTGGTGTGCGTAATGTTTTCCCTTTTATCTGTGTTTTCCTTTTCGTGTATAGTATATAATGGGTCCTCATTGCGGAATGATCCTCGATATGACGAGATCGTCTGTAATTGATCCTCTGCGTGAATATAGGGGATAAGTATGCTCCACAGGAGGTTTATCTTAAACACAATTAAAGGAAATCTATTGACTTCCATGAATTTTTTGTTGACCGATACGTGGGATATTTTGAACGATTGTTAATCGAGGACTTTACCGATGGAATTAAGCAGCTGTTGGTGATAATAAGAGTGGATTAATTAGGATCAATCAATAATCCATCTATCAATTTACGTGAGACATATGTTGTGCCATATTCGAGTTTTATTACCACCACCTCAAAACTCTCCGACACCAAACGGTGTCGGAAAGTTCCACGTTTTACATAAAGCAGTGCGCAAGACTGGTGTCAGTGCCAGAGGAAACTGGTGCTATGTCTCGATAATGGAGCGGAATGCGCCCAACTGTTGGAATTACTTCTTTGTCCTATGCACCAATTTCCAATAAACAAACGTTTGTAAGGATCAAGTGTTTAATAAGATGTTATCGTTGATATTGCTTCTTTGACAAAGATAGAAAGAAAAAAAAGAGATGTAACGGCTGGCTTCAAACTACAAAATGTAGCAGCTTCAACCTTTAAAAAGGCTCTTCCGGCTCGGCGAAAACAGAAGAACATGTATAGAAGTATCAAATAGATCCAATATCGAAATTAAAGGCACGAAGATACATGTAGATGTGTGATTGGTCTCAGGTTAATAAACCTGACCAATCGCTCGGCTGATACATGTCCTTTGAAGATAACAGATGAGCGACATCGACTTCAAAGCCAGTCAATTTGTACCGTTACACTACCGCGTGATTCTTTTGATGTACATCAGAGGATCGAACTAGTCTTCTTTTTTCTCATCAACATGGTGGCGCACACTGAGCCTTCGATTTTGCTTGGACATATTCCAGGGGTGTAGAGAGCGTAAGTGAGCGTAAGTGAGTTTCTCTAAAAATCAAAAATAAGGATAACACATTTCCCATCTTTATTTTTTATTACTGTGAATACAAACATTGTTATGAAAAGGTTTTAAATTGAATACAATACACTACGTCGTTGTGGTTGGACTGATTTGAGGAACACCCGGCAATACTCCGCCACTACAGATGAGCTTATCACAACATTGACCCGCTTCCTTTTCGAAATGACACTGGGAAGGCGTGGCAGTCCATCGTGGACATCTGTTTGTAACACAAAGAGAGGACTAAATAATAGAGCTATAAATAAACACAAATAAAGAATAAAAAGCTTATCATTTAGCGTAGCTACTGAAAACACACAAGTTGAATTTGTAATGCACACTTTTTCAGAAAAAAGAATAATGACATTGTTAATTTGGATAAAACAGCAGTGACCTGTCACGGGTAATACAGACTAAACAAGTCTTCCCTTTTTGCAGATTTCGAGTGTACAAATATCAACAAAATTGAATAATAAATTAGATGAAATTATTTACAACTAAATCACGGTTTCAGTATGCAATTCAAGCTTAAAGCAGTGCAAGTGTAAAAGGTTTCAATTGGGATTAAAAAAAAAATAGTTTCGAGATCTTCCCTGGAATAAATCTCTTCCGGCTGTCGTATCTAAGGAAGCTCCGACATGCTAGAATGTACTTGTTTGGATACGAATATTGGTCATAATGTGCCATAAGTTATAACAAGCTTGGCAGTGTTTCGAAGTCTCAAGGTTAGTACGTTTGATTTTAGATATCGGCTGCCGATCTGATCAGGATGCGCGGCGCATTGAATCGCAAGTCGGTCAGTTGTAGAATGATAACCGGTTTGACAGGTAATGCACTTTTTATACCCAGCGACACCCATACTCGTTACCAAGCAAGGACAAACTGAAATGTCGGCACTTCCTTAGAAACGACAGCCGGCAGATATTGTCACTGGGAAAGATATCAAAATCAGAATTAAAAAATGAAATTTCTCAGTAGAAAGCTTTTTTACGTGCTCGGTCAGCTTTAATTTTGAAATTACTAAATTAACAGAATAAGGATTATCTACACACTGTGATGCACATAGTATATTCACGATTTTCTTGATAGCATTATATCAGGTGGTTTTGGATAAAATCTGTAATAAATTTTGTGGGTAAAGACAAACCTGTGTAGAAGACAGTCTTATTTGCATTTAAGACAAAAACTGTTTCTGAATTCAAAATTATATTATACCGCTCCATGCCTGTTTCCTTTGTCGACTATTCCGTCTTTGCGTATTGCAAAGTTATTTGCACTTGTGAGCAGGTATTGATTGTAACGTCATTTGTTTGTGAGTGAAACGTCATCAATTTTTGAGAAATGATTTAATTTTCTCACACAAACCAATGACGTAACAACCAATACCTGCTCAAAAGAGAAGATAACTCTGCAGTACGCAAAGACGGAATTATACTAATTATCAAAAATGTATCTTTTATATAATAAACATTTTTCGAAAAATGTTTTTTTGATTTAGTATACAACATTCATTAAATGCTAGAAAAACCAGTGCCTTTTATGATTGAGTTGTGTTTGAGCTCTAGACTATAGATTAATTTAAACTTTATTTTTTATTTGTTTTTCATTTACTGTATAGTGTAAAGCAATGCACAATTGTTGAAATGTGGATTTGGAAACAATTTATACAAGTTATGTAGATCCCTTCCCAGTGGAAGAAATACACATGTGATTTGAGGACTATATGTTTTATGACTATAATATTTGAGAAAGAAATATGCAGCAGTACGTTGAGTATATGAGTAAAAAACGGAAAAAGAGGCGGGTAGGATAAGAATGAGGGAAAGAGAATTGCTATAGATTATAGACTACAAATAAACAAACAAAACGGGAATAAATGTAGAACCTTACAGATATTTTAAATATTGATTTGGTTTGATAAAACGATACTTACATATCTGAACACACAACCGTATTCAATACGTTGTCCAAACACGTACATCTGACGTCACATCCATCGGTGTAAGTCTGTGTAAGGTTAAGGTATTGGTCTTTGTATTGGCAAAATCCTGAAGAAAAATAACATTCACGTGATCTTTAAATAATATTTATTTGCTTTTTTAAATTATCATTTAATATGTGTTTCTTCGCTTTCTTACTTTATTTTTCACACAAGCAATGCATACGTAGATTATTAAAATTCTGTAATCGTTAAATTATATTTCGATAATAATGATAGACAAATCTAATAACGCACATAAACCCTTAAAAGAAGCCAGTTCCATAATAACATTTGTTTTACCGATTATGATAATTTTTTTCTTCAAAACATTGATGTACATTTTTAATAAAAGGAAAATCTCCTTATGTATGACATCGTAAATGTAATGACGTCATGATTATCATCATCTCTAACTGTCTACGTCTATCCTTGATTTATGTACGTAAAGAACTTTTTTGTATCAGATGAAAGCGTTATATCATGACGTTACAATCGAAAGTCCGTCATAACGTCGTGTGACTGATTGCCACAATCTTGCTTGTATTGATGTATACTCATAATACACTTTTAGTGCACTTTCCAAATATTGTCTTAGCTTCTGTAGAAGTTATATAGAGTTTTTACTATAGTAAGAATTTCATATTTGCATTATCTATGCATGGTTTGAGCAGGATTTCGACAAAATGGTGGGAGAAAAACAATCAATCATTATGCATGTACGTGGGATAGGAGAATTCCACCATCGAGTGTAGACTTTGGAGTCGGATCCTCGGTTTTGACCCAAATTATACATCCTTATACAGCATTCGTGTACCTGAAAGTAGCAAAATATATTGACGATAGATTTACCTTTTTTATCCGAAGGGGGTCCTTCGTATGTTTGAGACAAAATCTGCGAAGTAGCAGTCAGGTTCCCGGATGTTGGTGCAAGGTTGGACGGTCTTGAAGGAGCAAAGGGCAAAGTTACACCTATATTTAAGAAGAAAAAAAACCAAAATAGAGCGAAATTTACTTCTTGGACATTTCTGTGATGCTAATACGAGCAAAGTGTTCATGTCATTAATTCTTCATTCAATGGTTGAATAGTTTTTAAAGGAAAATCACTATGAACTCGTTTTGAAATGACAGCACACATGCTTCGACTTGGGACTTGGATAGGATAAACAATTGTCACCTACAACGGGCAGGAAGTCACAAAGAAACCGAACCCAATCTACATCTATGTCAACCTAAATCTGAGCTAGATTTTTTTCTATCTCGTCCGATCTGTCTGGCACCTTTCCGTCACTTTTCGTGGAATCGTCACACAGCCATGTATTCTTCCGCGCGACAAATGCTCGATATGAACATTCCACGTTATAAATATTTTGCTTTTTCGTAATATATACTGTTTTCATGTTGTTAGATTCCCGTTGTTGTAGACAAAATAAAAAATGCACTGTACAATACTTTGTCGTCTTTGTAAGGACGAGCTACATTGTTTACGCGGAAGCATTTAAATGTAGCTTGAGTAGTGAAGTGGCCTTATTCATTTGAGGCTTCATACGGGATACTTGTAGAATATAGCGAAAGTGAAAAGTGTTTTGAACTACAAAAAGCAAGAAAAAAATCAATTACCTGTGACTGAACGAGATTGGGTAATATCAGACTCGGTCTAAGATTCTGTAACATCCAAACCTCGGCTCAGTTACAGGTAATAGATTTTATATTAATCCATATCGAATCCCTCTATTGTACGTATAAAACATAATTTTTAAACGTTCTATCTACTGACTTTAAATTCACTTAACAAACAAGGATAGAAAACAAGGAAGGAGTCGTGCAATATATATCCCCAAAAAAGATTAACCAACCTGAACCCGTAGTATTAGAACCAGGCATACTTGAGGGTCTCACAGGAGCTGTGAACGAGAGAAAAACATAATTGAGATGTATACAACTGTTTTTCAAACAAAACCTAATTGAAATAGATTGTTATACGGAGGAATGTATGGACGAGCGTGCGGTGCGCATGATTACTTATGTACACCTACGATATAATTATATCTTCAATCTAATATTGTCTTTAAAATTATTTTGTTTGTATACGATGTACCCATTACCAACCTTTAATGTTCTTTATACTGGTATAACCTCTGAACATAATTATTACCGTATTACCATACTGTATATAAATAGTGACTATTCATGCTAGCGGAATGTAGTATTCGTGTTTTGTTTTATGTATATACATTTATATATAAAAATATAAAAATAAACCACGAAGACTAGCATAATCGTTTAGCGCTTTCGCCCATATTGGGGCTCTTCAGGCGATAGCAAGGTTATACCAAGATAGGCGAAAGCGCTAGCCGATTATACTAGTCTTCTTGTTTTGTTTTATTTTATTGTAACCGTCACATGGACATTTAAAACTATTTATCGCTACATATACATATATATATATATATGAGTGTAATCAAATGACGTCAAAAAATAAAAGGTAGTTATTCGAGTATATGGTTGCATCGATTTGATCCTTAGACCAAATAATAAGCTAATATATAATATAGACCATATCATATACGAAGAATGTATTTGTTATAAAATCAAGTTTACATGTGTAATAATTTATATAAACGTATAATTAAAAACAAAAACATCTTGAAATGGAAAATATATGATAAGAGGTTTGAGCAGCTTTGTAGTGCTACCGCATCTTCAAAAGTTTGTTAGAGGAAAAATATGTATCAACTAAACCTCAGAAAGTAATGACGTTATGGTTATAAGTACAGAAATGTATGATTTATCATCACCTATTCAACTTTAGTGCTCTTGTTAAATTGAATAAGTATACTTTACAAAAGTCTGCAGTAGCATCAAATAATTAATATAACGTTTTTATGCTACCAACCTCCACATAAGTTGCAGAATTTTTTACACTTGTCCCTGGCGAATCCCTCGTAGGTTGTGCATAGGTCTACACCGTATTCATCACAAAGGGGGTCTGTGTCTATGCATGTCTCTAGTTTACCTGTTGAAGTAGAGAGTGTTTTTCGAAAATATAATATTTTTACTCTGTATCTTTTCTTCGCATATGTACATTGACGTTTTCATGGTAGTCAAATAACGTTGATAGGGACACCTACAAAAAGATCAAGTATAAAACTATCATTGAGAGAAATACTCATATCTTGTGGTAAAAGCAAATACATTCTGCTTTACAATATGTCCAAAGATGAGTGAAAAATATTGCAAATGGCGTTGCATTATTAATCTGACAAAAATGTCAATGTGAGATTCCATATTACATTCCTTGGTAAGACTCCCTTTGATAAAGTTGCCATTATTAGATATCCTTCGATAAACCTTAGATCAATTAGAGAACCTTGTGGAAGATTAGCTTTGCTAAACAGGTTTTGTATCCTCAATAAATAAAGTTTATTATTATTATTATAGATATCCTTTGATAAACCTTACCACAATCATATATCATTTGATAAAACTTGTCATTATCAGATATCCTTTGATAAAGTTGCCATAATCAGATTCATTTGATTAACCTTGCTATTGTTAGATTCATTTTGATGAATATTGCAATTTGTCACATTCCGTTTGGTCCACATTGCCAACGTGAGGTTATCTTCGATAACATTTTCCAATGCTATACTCCCTCTGCTACATTTATCATTGAGAGATTCCGTTTAAAATGGTCTCCAGTTTTTGATTATCAATAATACACTTGCCAAATGTGCAATTCCTTTTGATCAAGCCTGACAATGTGGAATTCTCGATAAGTATACATTGTTTATAGAAAAGCGTTTGTGATTGGATAATTGATAGCATGGAATTGAAAAGAATCATCAAGTCCCCCTTACGCGCTTGCGTTTCCCCGGTTGTACTTCCTTTATTCGGAGCCTCTCTAGATTTATGTGCCAATCTGATCATCTTTAAAGTTTGCAGTTTTTGTTTTTTTATTTCGGCATAGTAATATTTGCCTTGCCCTTGTGGCAGTGAAACGTTGTTTCACCTTGATTAATCGTGATTCATGAGACCCTCGTTAAACATACATAATCTCCGAGAAAAAGATAAACCTCATCTATTTGGAATTATCTTAATTACACTTTGGCAGCTTAATTTAATGTTTAATGAAATTTGCTATTGCTAGATATCTTTAAATACATTTTGCCATTGTGAGATTCAATTAGAAAAAGAAAAAACTTTGCCGATGTTAAATTCCATTTAATAGAAAGTGCAAGTGCTTTAAATGATAAACCATATCAATAAGTTATTCTCTATGACTAAACATCACCATTTGAAATTCCAAAGCATATGTATGAGAGACTTAGTTAATGCTAGATTCATCATGCCATACCTGGGCAGTATCCGCAACGAAGGGCACAGTTACGTCTCGCCCAACCTTCGAAATCATCGAAGCATGAAGAATCTTGGAAGTAGTCGCAATCCGTTCGGATGTTTCGGCAGTTTAGTTTTAAACCTGAAAGCAATACAATTTGGACACAATAAACAAACCTTACATGCTTTTAATGTTAACAGAACCCCACAAGTACACATTCCCAGGTGGTCATCTGCCCTAACAACCAGGAAAGGGGTTGACGTCATATTTACGTTATTATTATGCATTCTCGTAATCAATCGTTTATTAAATATTCAAAGTTCCAATTATTTATATTATGTAAGTCTAAGGCTGCATCGGTGTACACTTTCGCTTTATTGCGCTGTTAATCAGCTTTGACCTTTTTTTCTCGCCGATTTTGTCTGCCTGCTTAATAGACCACGTTTTAGCATGAACATCGCATTTGCATGTGATTGCGCATGCTTAACATTATGTGAGATATTGAATTATTTATGGCACGTAAGAAAATCAGATAACTCTCGTTTTTATTTTATATCTTTGACACATTTCACACCAGAGTGTGGTATTAACGGGAAGTTAATAACTTCCACCATGTAAGACTACTAAGAAATGCCAGACTTATCCAACTGACAAGATAAAAGAGCGAAGGTAAGCGACACAGTACCTTCAATGAAATAACCATTTTTTTTTTTTTAATTATATGGTATATTCCGAAAAGAAAACACTGTATGCACTTTGCATGAATGGACGAAATGTTTTATGCACAAACGTGCACAGTTTTTTTGCAGTACGTCATGTACCGTTTTATCCCAAAAAAATCATTGTTGGTTCTTATAATTTAATTTTAAGTCAAGCAACATTTTGTACATGTAGTTCATTGTTCATGAATAATTAATTCTTTTTTGACAAAAAACGATAAGATAGACAGCAACAAAACGAGAGGATTTTATAGAAAACACCACATTGCTTTCTGATCTCATTGCTGAGTAATTTCAACCAATCAGATGTTAACATTTCGAATACTTCGCCAAACATCACGATATACGATGTCATCAGTTTTTTGCGTTGACTTATTGTTGATGTTGTACAATATAACCTGAATAAGTCTATCATTAGGGGAATAGCAAAAATTAAATAATGACATAATAGACAACTGGTTTATTTATTATCATGATAATGATATTTAGTGTAAACGTTATAAATACATGAATTCATTGTATATTTCTGCAACTTACTTTCCAAAATCGGATCTAGAGTTGTAGATGGCGGAGGAGTGGGAGGTGCTGTTATTGGGTCTAACAAATAAAATAAAAGCAGATATCAGTAAAACATTATGATATACAATACGTCATACACATACATTCATAGCGTATTGATATTGTGGCACAGTAAAGCTGAAACCCTTTTAAATTTATATTTTATCTTTTCAAGATTAATTCTTTCTCGCTATAAAGCGCAACGGAAACTCATCGTATGATAATGTATGTAGAGAGCGCTGAATGTCGATAGATGACAATTGTACTTCATTTCGTATATTCCTCAAATGACATCTTGCTATTTGGTTAGAAATATGATGTCTATTTTGCTTGTGTTGTTATTGTTTAAGGTAAAGGGTACAAATGCACCAAAAAGAAAAATTTCATTGAGAGATTTCTTTCTGGATTGCGGTGACTTCCCTTGTCAACTTTTCGATACACTTTGCGGCTCATAAATTGGGCACTCATTTTAGTGTTGTGTTTATTTATAATCCCTTGAAGGCAACATCGGTAAAGCAAAAATTTCCAATGAAAAGATAGTAGATCTACCCCTACCGTATTTCTGTATTAATTTATAACATATACGTGTATCTTTAAACACTCAAATTTGAACAGTTACAATTACGTTTTTAAAAAGAAATTCATCGTTACATGTGATTTAATAGGAATACTTCAGTTGCAAAAGAATTAAAACAAATATTTCAAAATAACAATAATGCTTATATTTTAGCTTAATGTGTTGTTACCTTTTACCTTAGCATCAATACATTGCGATCATTTATCCACTAGAATCGTCACGTTAAAGTAATGGACTTGGTTGCCATGGAAAAGAGACGAGTCAACAAATTACTAAAGGACAAGTAAAAAAGGTTTTTGAAAAGATTCATGAAGCACAACCAATAAGTGTTTTAATATGTGACGTTCCGATGACGAGTACGGTATGTCACTTTCAGCAGACAAATGACCAGTGACGCGTTTTTACACAAAGGTGTAAAATGTGTACGAGTTGTCCACCAAAATCGATGTCGATTCGGCTACGCTGTAAGCATATGTGCAATTTGTTGTGTAGCTAGTGAAAGGGTTCTGTGCCTTAAAAAATGTTAGTAGTAAATGGAGAAACGTGAACGAGTGATATGATATCGTGGTAAATCCGTTTGACTGCTACACGCAGTAAGGATTAAAAGTAACATGTATACTGTAAAGTTTGTTAGTAAACCGATCAATGACTAACGAATACCTACTGTCGCAGATTTTGCAGAAGGCTCGGCAGTTTTCTTCAATGAATATCTTATATTCCGGATTTGTGCAAAAACCTGCGTTGTATTCCTTACAGTTTGGCAGTTTATCCATACATGGGGGTGGCGATGTTGGTTCTAAAACATAAATACATATAAACATATATTATCATGAATAAAAGTTAAATCTGAAGACCGGGATTATAACGTCAGGGTTTGGACCTTGTGGTTGTCCTTATGTGTTGTCGCTCTGGTATATTCTGCTTTGGTGTGTTGACAATCCTGTTCGTCTTGCCTTTTTGTGTTAAATAACTGATATATTTTGCCCTTGTTTGTTGATAAACTGATATATTTTGTCCTTGTTTGTTGATAAACTGATATATTTTGTCTTTGTTTGTTGATAAACTGATATATTTTGTTCTTGTTTGTTGACTTCTGTATGTATTGTTTCCTTTGCGTTGACACGGCAATATGGTTTGTCTTAGTATGTTCACGCTATAGTATAATATGTCTTTGGTAATTAACGCTTTGGTACAGTTGTGGGACCGCACAACGTACCAAAAAAAAGCGTGCGCACACCGTGCATACATCGTTCACACACCGTCCGCACATCGTTCACACATGGTGCGCACAACTGTGCGATTTAGCAATCGTTCGCCCCGTTGTGCGCTTTTCTCCGCACAACTGTGCGATTTGGTATCATTTGTAGATCAAAATTACGGAATGACAAAAATACGGAAGGCTTGTATGCGATAATGTACACTGTGTATATATCTGTAATTTCTCACAATAATCAAGATTATACAATTTCACAATGCGTGTTACACAGTATATATTACAGCGACCGTTAGGCTGTCAAGAATGGGTTGGGCTCCAAGGTAACAGAACAATTTACACCAACCACGATTGTTTTCGCACAACGTCCGTCCATCGTGCGCACAGATGTGCGCAAGCAATGATCGTCCAGCTTTTTATCGTTCGCCCATCGTGCACACACCGTTCACACACCGTGCACACATCGTGCGCACACCGCACATCGTGTAACTTTGTGCGATCCCATAACTGTATAATGTCTTTGGTTATTGACGCTTTGGTTTAATGTCTTTGGGTGGTGACGTTTTGGTATAAGATGTCTTTGGTTATTGACGCTTTGGTATTATGTCTTATGGTGGTGACGCTTTGGTATAACATGTCTTTGGTTAGTGACGTTTTGGTATAATGTCTTTGGGTGGTGACGTTTTGGTATAATATGTCTTTGGTTATTGACGCTTTGGTATTATGTCTTATGGTGGTGACGCTTTGGTATAACATGTCTTTGGTTATTGACGTTTTGGTATAATATGTCTTTGGGTGGTGACGCTTTGGGATAATGTCTTTTGGTGGTGACGCTTTGGTATAATATGTATTTGGTAATTGACGCTTTGGTATCATGTCTTTGGTAATTGACGCTTTGGTATAATGTTTTAATGTGGTGACGCTTTGATATAATTTGTTTAGGTGGTGACGCTTTGGTATAACATGTGTTTGGTTATTGACGCTTTGGTATAATGTCTTTGGGTGGTTACGCTATGATATAATATGGCTTTGGGTGTTAACACTTTGGTATTATATGTTTTTGGGTGGTGACGCTTTGGTATAACATGTCTTTGGTTATAGACGTTTTGGTATAATGTTTTTGGGTGGTGACGCTTTGGTATAATAAGTATTTTGGTGTTAACGCTTTGGTATAGTATGTCTTTGGTAATTGACGCTTTGGTATAATATGTCTTTGGGTGCTGACGCTATGCTATAATATGTCTTTGGATGTTGACGCTTTGGTATGTTTTTAGGTTGTGACGCTTTGGTATAATTTGTTTAGGTGGTGACGCTTTGGTATAACATGTGTTTGGGTATTGACGCTTTGGTATAATGTATTTGGGTGGTGACGCTTTGGTAAAACATGTCTTTGGTTATTGACGCTTTGGTATAATGTCTTTGGATGGTTACGCTATGATATAATATGGCTTTGGGTGTTAACACTTTGGTATAATATGTCTTTTGGTGTTGACGCTTTGGTATAATGTCTTTGGGTGTTGATGCTTTGGTATAATATGTATTTGGTAATTGACACTTTGGTATAATGTATTTGGTAATTGACACTTTTGTATAATATGTCTTTTGGTGTTGACGCTTTGGTATACCATTTCTTTGGTAATTGACGCTTTGGTATAATGTCTTTGGGTGGTGACGCTTTGGTATAATGTTTTTAATTGGTGACGCTTTGGTATAATTTGTTTAGGTGGTGACGCTTTGGTATAACATGTCGTTGGTTATTGACGCTTTGGTATAATGTCTTTGGGTGGTTACGCTATGATATAATATGGCTTTGGGTGTTAACACTTTGGAATAATATGTCTTTTGGTGTTGACGCTTTGGTATAATATGTCTTCGGTTATTGACGCTTTGGTATAATGTATTTGGGTGGTGACGCTATGACATAATATGTCTTTGGGTAGTGACGGTCTGGCATAACATGTCTTTGGTTATTGACGCTTTGGTATAATGTCTTTGGGTGGTGACGCCTTGGTATAACATGTCTTTGTTTATTGACGTTTTGGTATAATGTCTTTGGGTGGTGACGCTTTGGTGTAATAAGTATTTTGGTGTTAACGCTTTGGAATAACATGTCTTTGGTTATTGAAGCTTTTGGTATAATGTCTTTGGTAATTGACGCTTTGGTATAATATGTCTTTGGGTGGTGACGCTTTGCTATAATTTGTCTTTGGTTGGTGACGCTTTGCTATAATATGTCTTTGGGTGGTGACGCTTTGCTATAATATGTCTTTGGGTGGTGACGCTTTGCTATAATATGTCTTTGGATGTTGACGCTTTGGTATAATATGTCTTTGGGTGTTGATGTTTTGGTATACCATGTTTTTGAGTTGTGACGATGTGGGTTTTTTTGCTATCATTACAACTCTTTTATAACACGTATCCAAAATTTCTAGCAAGACTCAACCTTAACTTATCCAAGTACCCTCATATTGTAGCCATCGAATGTACAATGAGTTTTCATAAACAACATTCAGTTTTTAAAAGAAATAAAGTAAATCTTACCTCCGCAAAATCCACAGAATTTTCTACATCGAACTTCAGCCCATGGTCTATATGCCCCAGGAACGCAGACCTTGTCAAATCCGTATTGTCGGCAATTTGGAAGTTTGTCAGCACAGACTAGTAATTTACCAAACAAAGTAATTATTAAAAGATGATATACTCATAAAAATACCAACTGAAATATCTTACTTTTTCAGCTTTCATCTTACAACTTGCAGGCTAGGAATTTGCAACAAAAGAACAAAGGACAAAACAGTAATATTTTAGCTTGAAAATGTAGTTTGGCAATGCTACATTACGTCACTTGACTTGTGACGTCACAGATCAAGTTACGTCATAGATATTTGCTCATCAAAACTACGTTTCTTTCTCCGCTTCAAATGATCTCGTGATAAATAACACGCTTTTTATTTAGTGGCCTGTCGTGAGAACAACATCAACCACATGGATAAGGTGAAGGGCAATAATATATGAATTCATCCACTTGATAGCAAATATCATTAGCATGTCGGTTTTTGTGTGTGTGTGTGGGGGGGGGGGGGGGGGGGGGGGGGGGTTCAGATATAATTAATATAATAAATTATTAGTGTGTTGATGGATAAAGTGATAATCGGATGATGTACAGAGTGCGCTTTTGTCTATTGATAGACAGACCAAAGCAAAGCAAAGCAAAAATAAGTATAACGGAAATCTTCTATACAAAATTTGTACATATATCTTTTTTAACAACAAAATTACTTTTTTTATCAATGACGCATTAATTTTGACGTTAACCAATCATAGGCCGTGTTTCCAATCACCCGTGCCCTTTGACGTATTCATATATGTTCGGTAAATCACTTACAAGGCATGTTGCAAGCGAAATTACATTATAAATAAGTATAGTTGAAATAAAACCATCATCTTTATTACATTGTGTATTAAGAGTTAAGCTTATACTTTATAACTTACCTTCCGTGGTACCTGAAATATTATCAATAATATCAATAATTGTAAGGTTAATAATATTATTATATGTTAATAATATTATTATCTTTATGAATATCAATATTTGACGTTTACGATTATAATACTTATATAATATTATATATGATATCCATATTATTCATGTAAATAAATATGATATGATAATAATATACGCGTATTATAGTTTAAGATGATTTATTAATACAAACCATTCCACTTCGTGAAATAGTACACTTCGATCACAACGCGAACATTTCCATGCGTGAAAACGTGATGAGTGAAATGACGTTAACTGTGTAGTGTTGTCTCAGTGAAATAGTAGGCCACAACACAACTGTCAGTATGTGTTTGATTTCGTAACTGCAGGAGGTAACGAAAACATACTCATTGTCAGAGTTAGAGCATTGTCTCAATGAAGTCGCAGCCTTCCACAACCGTATCGTCGCGCTACTGTCACGTGACAGTGATGTGTCTAACGAATCGTTTTGTATTACGGGATTAACCCCATTCAATTTAACAATTGGGTATTTCTAGAAATAACTCATCGTTGAATCAAGACAAAAATACCTCAAGATAACGTTATGCTTAATAGCGGAAAAAAGAATAATATTTAAATCTCACATTTAGACGGAGTAAAACATCAAAAATGACCCCGTCAACGAGAGTGAGACAGGGGAATGCAATTTTCATTTTTAACGTCGATGTACATCGTATATATTTGTGGGAAATATACCTGTTGCAACTGGGGTAGTGCCCGATGATGGCCCAGCTGTGCCGGGTCCTGATGGTGTTACGGATGGAGGAAGAGAGTTTTGTCCCGCGGTAGATCCTATGGATGGTTCTTCTGTTGTGCCATTGGGTGGATTTTCTGTACTTCCGGTTCCTGATACTTCTGTTGAACCAGCCCCAGGTTGCTCGGTTGATCCCGTTACTGGACCAGACAAAACAGAAAAATTAACGTATTAAGCTACACATCATTGTATTTTTTGTCATGTTTTTTTCTATGATTTGACACTTTACTGTCTAAACGTACAATTCCAAATAATGATTAAAACTAGATGTAACTCCAAGGGGGGCCTTCGTGAATACCCCCGCTTTGATTGATCAGGAATTGGTGAGAGTAATGAGCATGTGGAAGAATCAAGTGAAGAGTTCATCTGCTGCAAGTCTCACGTTACGTAGGTCAGAGGTCGCAGTAGAGGCCACAGTGACCTACATATGGTATGCGACCCACCGCCTTCCATGCATGTACCCACAAACCAAGATGCATAACCGTAGGTGAAATTGTACGGGAAATATGCTTCGGAAACCTTTCTGACGACATTATGTAGGTCAGAGGTCACGGTAGAGGTCATCGTGACTTACATATGGTACGCGACACACCGCCTTCCATGCATGTACCCACAAACAGGATTCATAACCGTAGGTGAAATAGAACGGGAGACACACGGACGGACTGACGAAGCAAACACAATATACCCCGACTTCGTCGAAGCGGGGGTATAACAATTACAGTTACAGTTACAATTTGAAACAAACATGAGCAACTACAAGACTCACCGCCTGGAACTGGTGTGGGTATGCCTGAATCGGTGTTCACAGCTGGTGGAGCTACGGAAGACGTGGCAACGCCTGAATCTGTTGTCATATCTGGTCCATTTGAAGGGGTTGGTACGCCTGAATCAGTTGTCACAGCTGGTGGGCCATTTGAAGGGGTAGGAACGCCTGAATCTGTTGTCACATCTGGTCCATTTGAAGGGGCAGACACACCTGAATCTGTTGTCATATCTGGTCCATTTGAAGGGGTTGGTATTCCGGAATCAGTTGTCACAGCTGGTGGACCATTTGAAGGTGTTGGTACTCCTGAATCAGTTGTCATATCTGGTCCATTTGAAGGGGTTGGTACGGCGGAATCTGTTGTCATAGCTGGTGGACCATTTGAAGGGGCAGATACGCCCGAATCTGTTGTCATATCTGGTCCATTTGATGGGGTTGGTATTCCAGAATCGGTTGTCACAGCTGCTGGACCATTTGAAGGGGTTGGTACAGCGGAATCTGTTGTCATATCTGGTCTGTTTGAAGGAGTGGGCATGCCTGAATCTGTTGTCATATCTGGTCCACTTGAAGCTCCAGAATCTGTTGTGTTTTCTGAACCGCTTGTTGATGGCGTTGTCGTCTCTGTTGAGTTGTCTGTTGTGGAATTATCAGTAGATGGAGCCATTTCGGTAGATGTGGGACCCATCTCTGTTGAGGTACGTGTTCCTAGGGGGAATTCCGTTGTTGTATTAGGGGATGACTCAGTGGATGTTGCTGGGGGAGATTCAGTGGAAGTTGTCGATGGAGGGTCTGGTCCCTTTTCTGTTGTCGTTTTAACCGGTCTGACTGGAAATGCTGTAACACCGAACAAAACATCTGTTGTAAAACGGACAACAAGTCGTATTTTATAGCATATGATATACATAGTCAAGAAGGTTTGTGCTATAATTGTTTGCGATTTAGGACAATTGGATATACTGTAACTTAACAGTTTAAAAGTATTATGCGGAAATACAATGAACAAAACACAAACTGTATGAGTTCGATATCCAACGCTACACATCGTCCAATCGACATTTCTATATTATTCTTTAAGTTCTAAGAACGTTTTAAACTAAAATGAATTTGATGTGTAACTCCCTATTTCTTACGACATATTTTTATAAGTTTCGATTATGAAAGCCTATCACTAAATTATATATATTATATATAGTTTAATTGATACTAGCATATAATCGGACTATGTGCTGTCCACCAGCATCATTTGCCTTTTTTTTGTATAATTTAGTTTCTGTAACAACAATTTTCAAAACAAATAATAATAATAACTTGCAATTATCAAAACATGTTCGAAAACGAGGTTACAGGAAAATATTCAATATGATAAGCTTGCTTTGCCCGCTGTACGCCAACATTGATTTTTTTTGTTTAATCACTTTTCACATATGAAATAATTTCTAATATATCTTACAGACAATAAAAGCAACTTTTAAGGTAAAAGGAGTGTAGTGGTAAACGGAAATAGGAAGTCCATCCCTAGTTGAAACCCAATGTAGGGAGACAGTATCACAATTTCCGCATATTCTAATGTTTAATATTAAACTGATGAATATTGTATATTTATTATTGACAGAACAGTGTGTTCTTTCAATATTAAAGTATTTCAAAGCAATTCAGGCATTAATTCAGTTGTTTTTTTAATTAATGAGTCACATGTGTCCATGTTTCTCTACTGTGAAGTTTTTCAAGAACAATAACTCTTACATGCAGTTACTATGTGTATATGTTTTTTATTATAAAATGTTAATTTTTAATCGTTTAAAGATTATTAATTTTACACAATTTCAGCATTTATGAAATTGATATACATTAATGCAATACTAATCTAAGTCAGTATCATTTTTATTGACATTATTTAGCAAAAAAATGTGTGTTTGATTTGTTTTTCAAAATTCACTCCTTTTACATAAATTTCCATTTAAAATCCTTAAAATTCTGACAACCTATGTTTATTAATGGCAGAAAATTTTCTTTACTTCAAAGCAATATAACTACAAAATTTGAAGAAATTCTACTGAGAAATGGCGACACAATCCTATTACCTTTTTATGTTTCCTACTGTTGGCGTTTAAGTCTATGAATTAACGAAATGTCATACTTGCCTTCAAATACCGTAAAAAATCTTGTAAAAGTCAGCAAAAAGTTTGAAAAAGACATTTATAAGCAAAATCTTAAGCAATGGAAAAAAGCATTTGGTTGTATTTTTTATTTTTTTGTGGGAATAATTCATAATTCAAAAATAGCCAATCAACAAACTTGTCTTCTGAGGAAAGTCAGCCGTTTATTAAAAAAAATATTGGGAATATACTTTTCTACGCCTAAAACATCCTTATTTAGTTGAGGATGAACATCCAAATATTGTAAGGTGAAATCAATGAACAATGGGATATTTTTCATTGCAAAGATGTATCCTTCCAAATTCAAATCAAATGACTGCAAACACGGGTGAATACATACATTTTATGCAAACATTTTTAGAAAAAAAAATCCGTTAAATACAACTTACAAATAGAAAACAAAATCTACAAATGCGTATATGTGTTTTTTTGGTCAAGACGATCGTTTGAAAAATGTATATAAGCACGTGATTTTCTTTTTTCAAGACCATCGATTGAAAACGTAAAAACCTAAAACATGAACAGTCTAAAATTAATAAAATACATGTTGCACTGTGTGCAAAGCAGCATTTTATTGGATTGTAGTTTATTTGATTGTTACATCCCTTCCTCCCGATGATTTCATTGAAAAAAATATTCTACTTCCTCATGTTAAGAGTGCGGTGTTTCTGATTATGCTCCTTGGTATATTGCTTGTTTGGTTGTTACAACACTGGTTTTCCATTTAAGGACAACGTGTTCTTCCTTGGATTGGACATAAATTTAGTTGGAAGGTATTTATTGACTGAGAGTTTCGACTTTCATTTTTAAGGGGTCCCATGTAAATCTTTTCTTCGTTAATACTGTTGTTTTATTAACTTTATGTTCGAAATACGATCTTGTTAACACTTCAGTATTCATTTTGGTGGGGTTTTTTAATATAATATTTGAAGTATATGGAGAAGCGGTTTGTGCACACCTAGAATTAAAAATCACAAAATCCTGTTTCATTAACAAAGAATTGTTTATTTGTGTCATTAATTTTCGCGTTTTTGTTTTGTGTTGTTTTTGCCCCCGCAATTACGTACTGGACAGTAAGTGATAATTGTTTCGTCTGATGATTGAAATATTAAGTTCATTTGTAGTATTAAATATAACTTAAGAGTGATGATTTTATTTGGAAGTGTTAATAATTAGAAGTACAAAAGCATTAGGTCAAAGATGTATCGATGCAAAAAGCCTAATATTAAACTGTGTTATATGGCCATCCGTCAATTTAGGACCCTTTGTTGGAACGAAAGGTCAAATGAATGAAAACTCATGTTTAAAGTGTTCTTCAATTTATTTAGAAATAATGTGAAAGAGAAAATGTACTTAAAAGAATTCTCTATAACGATACAAATCTACTGTACAATTTTTGAAAACATCATTTTCTTACAACGGGTATTCCATGTAAACCTTTCATCCCTATGTAACTTCAGTAGACTCGACCATGCATTGATATGAATGAGTCAATTATGGTCTACAGTGGTGAAAGTGTTAATCCGTACCATAATGAATACATGTAACAACGTTGCAACCACCAGTTTTCCAGCAGAGGTAACCATCTGAACAAATACCTAGTAACATAAATAAACATAATCTTTATTCTTCCCAAACTGCAGCACGTAAATAAAAAATACCTACCTGGTTCTACGATTTCTGCACCAGTGCCCTCGTTCTCAGGGGAGGGGATTGCAGGAGGGGGCTCAAGAGTGGTTGGGGCTTTTGTTGAGGGAGGACTCTCTGTGCTAGTCACGGTGGTAGGGGGCTTCTCGGTCATGAAGCCGTTGGGTTCTGATCCAGTACCGGCTTGCCTCTTTACCGCTGTAATCAAAGAATAGCATGACATCAATTTAGTGTCAACACACTGCCAAAGCACCCTGGCCTCCGTGTCAGACTGAACTATATTTTAAAACATATTAATGCGTCCAAAATTTAGGCAAACATGATCGTTAAAAAGGGCTAAACCTTTTTTTATATATCGAAAATTATCTATGAACGGATTTATAACAGTTCGTTCTATAAAATGACCATTGATTTCAATTCATTGATCATTTCCAACGTTGACAACCTGAGATGTTAAGGATAAGTTTGTGTCACAAAATGAGATGTATTGCAAACGTATCTTGACAAATACTCATTATATTCAACTGTCTCAAGAAATATTATTTATATCTTTAAAAACCAACCTCATTAAGCTCTACCACATTATTTTTTAACAAACCTCCTTAAAGATGGTATGGTAAATTTCAACCCCATTATAGGTATGCACTAGTCAGTGAGAGATAGAAACTAGTGGATGAGAAGTATGTCGTAGTCAATGAGAGGTAAAAACTGGTCGATGAAAAGTATAAACTATTCGATGAGAGATATAAACTTGTGGATGAGAATTCTGTACTAGTCGATGAGAGGTATAAGCAGGTGGATGATAATTCTGCACTTGTCGATGAGAGGTATAAACTGGTGGTTGAACAGTATAAACTAGTCGATGAGAGGCATAAACTAGTGGATGAAAAGTATAAATTAGTCGATGAGAGGAATAAACTGGTGGTTGAACAGTATAAACTAGTCGATGAGAGGCATAAACTAGTGGATGAAAAGTATAAACTAGTCGATGAGAGGCATAAACTAGTGAATGAAAAGTATAAACTAGTCGATGAGAGGTATAAACTGGTGGATGAAAAGTATAAACTAGTCGATGAGAGGTATTAACTGGTGGATGAAAAGGATAAACTAGTCGATGAGAGGCATAAACTAGTGGATGAAAAGTATAAACTAGTCGATGAGAGGTATAAACTGGTGGATGAAAAGTATAAACTAGTGGATGAGAGGCATAAACTAGTGGATAAAAAGTATAAACTAGTCGATGAGAGGCATAAACAAGTAAATAAAATGTATAAACTAGTCAATGAGAGGTATGAACTGGTCGAGGAAAAGTATAAACTAGTCGATGAGAGATATAAACTAGAGGATGAGAAGTATATACTAGTCGACGAGAGGTATAAACATGTGGATGAAAAGTATGTACTAGTCAATGAGTGGTATAAATTGGTCGATGAGAAGTATCATCTCTTCAATGAGAGGTCGAACCTGGTCGATAAGAAATATAAACTAGTCGATGAGTGGTATAAAATTGTCAAATTGAAGTACAAACAAGTCAATGATAGGTATAAAATGGTCGATGAGAACTATAAACTAGTCAATGTGAGATATAATCAAGTCAAAGAGATGTATAAACAAGTGTATAAGTAGTTTAATCTATTTTATAAGTAATATTATCAAATCAATGAAAGGTATCAACTATTTTGCAAAATAGTACGCTTGCAAAACAGCTGATGAGAAGTATAAACTATGTGTAAGATAGTCGACGAGGAAAAAACATATGTTTAAAAGAAGATGATTAACATTCCCTGTTCTGGTTGAGATGTTAATGCAGTCAGTGCATTTTGTTTTGTTCTACAGTGGGTATGTTGCAGGACTGTTTGAACAATGTATAATCATATATCTTACATCGTAAAGCAGGAACATTACGTCTTCCTGGAAGATTTGGCACAGCAAACCCTAAAATATAAAGAAAAGGACATAAAAATATTATAGAAAGGTGGACTTAACATCAATGGGATAGTAACATCAGTATCGGCTTCCAGTTCCACATGAGTTTACGACTGGTGTCGAGATCCAATTTTTTGTCTATGAGGAACGAATTTCTTATGCAACAATAACCTTTTCTTGCAAATGTTTTTTCAATCATTAGTTGAATTTGAAAATTTCACCTTTTTTATCAAACTTTTGATTCACACCAAAATTGAATTAAGGTTTTCCACCACCGTATCGTATTGTATACCCATGGTAATGGCTTCCTTAGTAAATGCAATGTGACTACTTCATAAGCACACTTACTTAAATAATACACATTTCCAGGGAAGTATTGATTTTGATTTGTCATTACTCTTCCAAACGAGGTTATTATTTTCAATGGCCTTTTTGTACATTCAATTATGTCAACAAAGCAATCTACAGATAATTTCCATGTTTTTTTAACCTATTTTTTTATATGCATTGTTTGTAAGGAGTTAATCTGTTTGACTGTCTATTGATGGAAGGCTTCATCATGTTATTGCTACGATGTTTGAGTACTTCATGCAACATTCATTCAAAGTACATCAGACTTGGTGAATTCTTTTTCATTTGTTAAAACCCGGAAAATAACAATTTCATATTGTGACGCTAAGCCACAATTATAAACAAGCAACATTGTTTGATATTGAATTCAAACGTAAATTATAAAAAGGAAATACAAGAATAATATATACACAGTAAACAAGTAATCTAGTTAGCAATCAAACTTGTAAGATATCTTCCCATTTACATTTATGATTTATAAGGAATTCCATTGCAGATGAAAAATATTTTTATTACTAAATCAAGCGTCACAGTTTGTGCCTTAAATTGAGACAAGTTAAAGCAAATGTTACAGGGCATGGTTTTGTATTCAACGAGGTGAAATCATATGTTAACAAATCAGTTAGTTTAACGGAACTCGCCTCGGAAATACATCAAAGCAAGCGGTAAAATCAGGCAAGGCAAGAAAATGATCCATGGATGAAAAGTGAGAAATATTTTAGTGTGAAAAATATTCCAAGCAAACGAGTTTGAATAAAAAAAATTCCAAGCAAGCTAGATAGATGAACATTAAGCGAAAGTATGGAATGAAAAACATTACCAAACAAGTAAAATAGACGAACGATAAAGTAAAACTTGACATTTAAAAAATTCCAAGCAAACGAGTTTGAATGAAAACATTACCAAGCAAGCGAGAAGGATGAACGTTTAGCTAAAGCAGGAAATGAAAAACATGACCAAACATGTGAGACAGCTAAACACGTCTAAGTGAAAACACTACCACGCAAGAGAGAGGCCCTGATTATGCAACATGATTTGATTCCATTACTATGTTACTATACTTTTTCTGTCGTGAGCGCGATGCGATGACGGACAAAAAGAAATTACCACAACAACAGGAAAGTGCAAATGTGCAAACATTTCAAATACCATTCTTCAGATACAAGCAAATTTCAATGTTTCGAATATCCAAGAGCAGCATCACCAAGCGACATCGTTAAGAAATGTTTACTAAACAACGAAAAAGAAAGTCGTCTTTGCAACGTCAAGAAGCAAAACGTTGCCAAACAACATGACCAACAAACATCAGCACATAAGGTTGCTTAGCAAAATCACCACGCACGGTATCAAAGCATCAACATCAAGTAATTTAGCCAAGCAGTGTGATTCCAGCCGGATTAAGAAATAAAGAAATACGAGAGTTGACCTGGTCCTGATGTAGCTGGGACTGGATTTATCACAAAAGGACTGGGAGTAGCTCCTGATCCTGCAAACATAAATTAATAAAGAATAATTTTCATGCATTTGTATGTGCTTTTCATTTACTATAAAAAAATGTAGTATAAATATTTACTGTCAAGATTGGAAAAAATTGACACTAACATTGAAAATAGTTGCGTTTATCAAAAACATTTTTCTATATAACGTTTGACTAATTTGTGATGCAGGCCACTGTTGACCAAGTTAAAAGGCATGATTAACACATAATTACACGAAGAATTATCAATGCATATTCCGTACAGCGGAAAGAAAACTTACCTCAGAGTTAAAAGCAGCGTATTGAACAAGCAGGCGATTATAAAATAGTGTCGCATTTAAAAAGTAAAATGCACGATAAAAATACGAAGCAAACGTGTTTGATTATGAAAAGCAAAACCAACATAAGGCGAAAAAAACAACAAAGCAATATATTTATCATCCATGGCGTTTTTCATTTATTAGTCGTCCCAAATGAAATGATTATAATATATAGTGTTTTGTCAGACAGGAAAAGCTAGTGATTCTTGGTATGTACATAGTAAGTGTCTAACGCTAGTTATAATGGATATAGCGAGCGATATCTCACATATAAAAACAAGACAAAATACCATATCTAATGATGTGACAAAGAATACGTAACGGGTCTAGTGATAGAAAAAAAAGCTATGTATTCTAAATAGTTATAGACATATACAAATATATTATCAAAAAGTGTTCGTTCAAGTTTTCCGTGTACAGTAATGTACGAGCTTTTGAGGTGTGATATTTTAGAGCACTCCTGCATTAGGAGCTCTTTTTTTTAGAGGGGGGGGGACCCAGAAACTGGGGCTCCTCAATGCTTGCATTTCCTATCATTTTATTTCTGTTGACATGTATATATTTTTATGACAGATGTATGTGTATTAATCAAATATTGCTGAAGAAATAAATGCTGAAACAAAAAATAGGGAGGTAATATTCAATGATTAACTGCACAAAAAACGTCATTTGTCCGCAACACCTAAGCACAAACAAAAAATGAAACAGCATTTTCAACAAAAGCTAGGATAAAAACATTCATGATAAGCTCTTGTCCCATGCTTACCGATCTGTGGTGTAAGAGCTAAGCAGAAGAAAAATCAGTAAAAAAAAAACAATGCTTGACCCAAAGCATCATTGTTTAGAAGATGTTGCTTTAAATGACCGATATCATGTTTTCTGTGTTTTACGATTATCAATTTAGAAATAAAATAGTTTATGTCATAAGAAGTATATAATGTATTGTATTCATTAAAACATCGTTGTGAGTAATGATGAAACAATACATCAGCTGTCCAACTTACAACATAACAATTAACAACACATACAACAATACAAAAACCATATACAAACCGCACAACAAAACAATATATAAACTTTACTATAATAAACAACTCGTACAACAATACACAAAGCATATGCAAACCATGCAACATTATGATACCCAATAATATACAAAATATACGTCACCATATTTTACATCGCAACAATATACAGACCATAAAACAATATACAAATTATAGGACATTTCATAAATGATAAATTGCTAACAACACGACAAAACCGGGGGGTCCAATCTAATTGATTGTTGATGAGCTTTCTTCATTTTTGTCCAGGCAAAGATGGCGTCAGAGTCACGCTTCGGGAAGCTTAGGTAAGACTTTTATTGTTGATATCTGTTATATTTGATAAATGACGCATGAACTATTGTTTTGTACATAGACATGTCGTTTTTGAACAACTGCATGATATCTGTACCAGTTAACGGGTTAAAAAATTCATTGAAAAAATATCTTCGTGAATTCGGTAATAATGCCATTTATTTCTGACTTGATATGTGTGAATACGAATTACAATAAACACATCCATTTGTCTAAAGACTAGAAACGGCATTTTCATTAAATTATGTAACGTTAGTAATCTTGGATATTCGTTTAAGAATCCCCGTCCTACTGCACTGTGTTTTTTTTAGTATATACAGTAACCTCCCTTTAACTTCCGGTCTGATATACATTTAACTGTAGCACAGTTGGACCAGGACACTTCCTGTGACAAGGTAGCTCAATGCGTTAGAGCGATACTATAACAGTCAGAGGTCAAGACTCCGAATCTAGGTCTAGCCCCGCTGATTTATTTCTACTCAGAACAGTGTTGTTGATTACATTTTATTTATTTCATCGCAATTGTTTATTATACAAGTCCCACAAGGTATGTGTTCCTTTTCATAAATGGTTAATCAAAGCTACATTTATGCAAACAAAAAAAACAGTTTCCAGCACGTAGTTACAGTTTTTTGGCAGTGAAGGACACTTACAATGTAAATATATGTTGAGTGTCAACTAGAATCCCAGCGTTGATTCGTTGTAATTTGATGTTGTGTTATATGACATATGGTAGGGATGCAGATAACGTTAATGAATGTAACCCCTCGAATTTCGAGAATGCGATGATGCATACGTATTTTCTCTTCCGTATCGGTTGAAACAATATGGCGGAGCGATAACATGATCCCCCTTCCTAAGAGGCTGCAGTGTTTACGACGTATGACTTGCAATCTTTATCAAGCGAATTATTCGATAGGATTCACCCTTTCCTTCCAGAAGGTGTGATCCCGGCGCCATCTTTCCTAAGCGAAAAGCGAAATAAGCCCTTTACCAATCATCAAGGTTGGACACCTTGAAATCGTCACGTTCTAATTTCACGCTATATAATTTGGTTATTTATTATAACAATGAATAAAATAAGCATGGCTAAGCAAATGCGAGTGAAGCTCACCTCCGCCTCCGCTACACAGGTTGCAGTGCTTTCTACAGTTGTCGGTGGCCCAGATATGGAAATCGGGGGCGGTACAGGCGTTCGCTTCATATTGGTTACAGTTGTTGATTTTGTCGATACAAGCTGGTGGAGGGGTTGGTACTCCTGCCAATATGGTATGGCACATATTGAGTTTAAAGTATATATATATACAATACTTTTTTATTCCCCCGATATATTTTTTTAAAATTTAAAGGTAAAGGATCCAACAAGTTGAGCTACGTCACATGAATGACCATGTCTTTATTGCGAAAAAATGTGTTTTATGTCCTTTTCACAAAAGGAGTATTCCGTCCAAATCACATGTTGCGATCCAATGAACAGATCTATAATTGTTTCAATTCAAATGTTTGGAAATAGAAATAGAAAAGACAGCAAAATCACCAAAGGGGTCGAACCAATGACCTTATTACTGCTAAACCAACACTTCACACATATATTTCCATCCAGGAATTACAAATGAACAGAATCAAAGTGAGATTCAAATGTATGGGCCGTAAAGTCTTTGAATTTTTTTTACAGGAAAACTTTATTTTTTGCTACATTATCTTTTATATATAGAAGAGAGAAAAACAATATGCCTTAAAACAATAAAGAAATTTTCTCATGCCTGTGTTTTCCCCTCAAAGATAACAGGAACTAAGGTAGCATCAGATATAAGCGGAAGCAGTAGCCATTTGTGACATGCGCAAAGCTTCACCGAGTAGCTTAAAGGACATCTGGTCCTGTACACTGCATACTATAGCAATTCAAAACCGATTAAATTAATATAACCTGCTACTAGATTATTTGTAAGTGTATTAAATTATAACTGAACATAGCTCACTATTAACAGAGCGATGTAATGCACACAGTTAAGGCCCACACTTCATCATGCATTTGTGTTTACATGTTGATTTCAAATTCTTATAATATCAAGATCGGGGTTGCAATTTTGAACAAAAACGGAAAATTATGTCACCCAAAACACTCTTTGGCTTGTGAGATTGTTAGTGCATAACGAGGTTTAACTACTTACCGGTACAGAAACCACAGAAGTTCCTGCAGTTTTCTTTAGCCCAGCCCTTGAAGCTACCCTGACAGGAAGATTGACCGTACAATCTACAATCCACCTTGTCGACACACTCTGGAATAAGAGAACAAATTATATTAGTTTAATTTTTGTTTAATCAATGTTAAAAATTATTATATGCCTTAATGTTAAGTTCCATATAACAGATTATAAGACAAGAACATTGTTTGCCGTCAACATTAAGATTTTTTTATTTAGCTTGAATTGTAATTGATAAAAAAGATACAATTACATGAAAGCTGGCTTATGAAGGTACATATGTTTGCTTGATACATATCGGCATCATAAATACACATTCATCCCTCAGTATGCACCTTCAACACTTGCACAAGACATTCTACATGCTTTTAAACATTTTATGACACTATATAGATCTTAGACAACAGCTGAAGACATGAACAGCACGTGCCATCGAAGGTCACGTGCATGTGTACTGGACTTACGTTCTGGAGAGATGGTGGTGGTGATGGAATCCGCTATCTGGAGTTGCTGAACTGTTGAATGATGGAAATAAGAAGTAAGCATTCATTTCCTCCAACTTACACAATTATACGCTCTAGGGCCCGGATGGTTTAAAGTGTGATTTTGAGATTATTTGAAATTTTACAATATATTTATTATTAAATGCTTATACATACAATTAAATTTTGGCATCGTTGAATTTTGATACACCCGACTGAAAACTTCAAATCAACCGGATTTGAACAATTGGGTTCTGACAGATTATTAGAATCTATCACTCTTGTGTGATGTAGACAAAGAAATATCAACCCGAGGGTAGAAACCCTCATGCTAAAACTCAAAACTATTATCCCGGGGGTTGATTTGTCTGTCTGCATCACACAGGACTAGTCTATTGTTTTTCTTCAACAATTACTTACCGTTAAAACAACATGTAACGGTAAAACTAATGGTACGTGCCATCACCGAAGCTGCATGAAATATCGATGATGCTACCCTGGTTGCACTACATCAAGTAATGCCGCGATGATAAAGTTTTCAGAATAACAAAGCATGTGAGTTGCTGTTTCCTTGGGTAGGTAAAGACTAGCTTGATTTTTGCCCTAACAGAAATGGAAACTCACCTGCGAAACGTGGAAGAAAAGAGTAACGCAACACGTAAGACTGTGGTACTGTAGCAGCATTTATAATCTATTCGGTACCCTTCATGGAGTAGCACTAACATTTGGGATTATAGAATCACAGATGTAGGGTGAAGTGTTTTCACTTTTGACATACTGTATCTGTTACCAATTTTAAAGATGCAGCTACATTAGTTCAATTACGTGTATGACAGTAGTTTAGGCGTTATGATTCTACAAATTAACTAAATCGAGATACATAACCATGCTGATCAACCATCACAAGTTTGGGGACCTTCTTCTCCTACAATTCAAATATTATATCTAGAAAACCATATGTTTCTCTTGTAAATACATTATTCAAGTTTCCGATTGGGGGGGGGGGGGACAATGGAAAATGACGTCGCAAAGCATTGTTATTTGACATGATAATTAAAAGATTCACCAATAAAAAAACGGCCATGGTGTTACCAGCTAGTGGGTCACCAAACCTATTGACAAGCTCCTAGCAGGACCCATGGTGGTTAGGGGAGAATGTGTACAAGTATCTCTTGCAACAACACTGATATCGTACAGTTCCATTTGCAAAATTTACCTGTACATTTTCGGCAGAAGTAGCGACAGTTTTCTGCAGCCCAGGTTCCGTACTTAGGGTCATTACATACGGTCTGTCCGTACGCCTCACAGTTTTTAATCGAGTCCACACAGGCTGGGGCGGGCGTAGTAGCACCTTCGTAAAGCAACAAATCACTCAAGTTACATGCGTGACAAATGGTACAACACCTTCGAAATCATAAAATGTTCTAACGTAAAGAAGCATCTAGGATACGGGAAATCGTTAGAGGCTCATCATCTAATATCTAATAGACTTAGTACAAATCACTGAAATAAGGCGGTGCTTACAATACCTGTTGCAATGATTCCAAATTTGCAATTAATTTTTTGCTTCAACTGAAGTTTTCATTATATATAATGTATACCTTCAGTAAATCATCAGTTTAAAAAACTAACTACTGATATATCACGGTGTTAGCATTGTCAGTACTGATGAGAAAAAGCATAAGTCCGTTTTCGCAATCTCAATTGCTTCAACAAAACCTTCCATTATATATTAAGTACGTATGCATTCAGACATCAATTATGTTGTCAGTTGTTATTAGGCTCAAATTATAATGCAGCATCTACTTTGGCGTGAAAGTGTTTGAGCCTTACAACCGTGCTGCGAACAGTCCAAACCTTTTGCTATTAGAGGCATTCCTATTAGACATGGACGCTTACAGCAATATCGCCATTGTCAGTGCTTTAAGGTAAAGCGTACCACTGCATCAGTTTTAATTTCAAAAAAGAGTTCCACTCTTAAGAGGTTGTTTTTTTTTACTTAGAGTATTATGATACTATCATACCCTCTATATAGAAAATGAAGCAACCTAAAAGAGGTTATTCTAGCTTAGAGCAATTTTCCCTGTCAGGTTTTTCATATGCTTTGTGACCATTAAATTGGACACCGATTTTAATGTTGTTTTTGTATAATTCCTATATGACAACCTTGGTAAAGAGGCGGATTTGTGATGGAAAGGTTCCGAGATCGACCCCTGCAGGTTTTGTTTTTTTTTTGTTATTTTTTTTTGTTTTAGTTTAAAAGATTCAAATTTCAAACAACTATAGTACTGTCAACTGCATAACAACATATCATCTTTATATATTTTTTTCTTTTGCCAAGGTGGTCTGAAACGAATACTTATTATTTTAAAATAGTGGCAATGGTAACAACACATTTTGACGTGTTGGTACCCTTGCCCATTAGTCAGGCTATGTACTAAAACGAGTATCTGCTAATATGGTCTCGTTGTGTTGATTCGGGATGAAATAGTGTTCTTTCGTTTGGACCTTAACTCATACGTTATTAAACAAGAATATTCATGAGAAAATTGCGTCCTCAATAAAAGACTTCATCGGTTTCATGTAAGGATTGGACGGCATTTTTTCAATTTAATTCTGGTATGAACATTGACAAAATGCCGTTTAATCCTTATATTACATTCTAAATTTGTAGTTATTATTGACCTAAACAAAGATATTTCCTGCTATTTTTTATTTTGAAATGTCTTTGGAAATTGCTGAACAGCCTAACATCATGTTTGATCCTAAAGGTTGTCTCATGTGTATCGAGGCGGAAGGAGAAACTTTAAATGACGCTGATCCAAATGCGTTGATAGCCCTTTGAACGCAATTTCTTATGGTAATGCTTTTAGAGGAACTTGCAATGGAAATGTAAATATACGTTATGTTTATTCTTTTTTTAATAGAGTTTCCGTGTTATATATGGAAATCGAGGTAATGCTGTCATGTTTTCATAGTACCAGACTTACCGTGACAAAATCCGCAGTAGTTAGCGCAGTTGTCCTTTGCCCATTTGTCGTAGGGAGCAGCGCACGCCTCCTTCCCGAAAGCCACACAATTGGCTTGTTTATCTACACAATCTGCCGGTAAATAAGTATATACATGTATACTGTTGTTATAGATTTAAATCGAACACGCCAAGTCTACAACTGACTGCGATAATCATTAGCCTAACAAATTAATTTAAACAAAATTAAAGCAACGGTAACTTAACATTAACCTATAATACCAACACAGCCCTGTCAGAGTAATACACTCGATATCCTACAACAGTATCAGAGGAGAAGTTTATCAGAGGACCACTTAAGAATTGCCTGAAATAGTTGTCTCAGAGCGCTGTTTTAAATATTGAGACGCTTACCCTTCCGGAACACCTCGTCTTATTCTCCTTGTACTTGTTGAGGTGTCCATATTCATTTTTTTTTTATTTTTTTTTAATTTTGCCCTAGTTTTATCGATTTTGAGTTCGAATTATTGTTTTGTTGACGTTTCGGTCTACTCTTATTGTTTGTTTATTATCTCAAGACAGCGATGCCAAATAGCTATTTCAAATTGACTACCCAATTATGTTTAGAGTCATACAAGAGTGCTGTTTTAATCTGGCTACAAAATTATGCTAAGGCAGTCGTGTCAAAGTGCTTTTTTAGTATACTACATCTTCTTTTGTGAAGAGACAGTCATGTCAGGGTACTATTTCATTTCAACAAATTTTATTGCAAAAAATATGCAAAGGGATAGGGCATCAGGCAAAGTCTATGTAAGCCTTCTCCTTACAACTTCGGTATGTTATATGTACACTCAATGAAATCATCCAACAAACATATAAACAATTCATATAGTGTGTCTCCATGTCCCCACCGTACCAGGTATAGTTATGATTAAACAAATCTTTTAGTGTTGAAAATGTACTCTGATATACAGTGCACAAATGCATCGATTTCTTCATCACATTCATGACATCCAAAGGGTACTATATTTAGTATAATACATCATACCAAATCATCCGTGTCAGAGTGCTGTAATAAATAGCCGATGATACAACATTATCTCAGGACGTGTTTTTTTTGCTAGAGTGTTACATTAAATATAATACAATATTATCTCTACAAAAATCATCATTTCAAAACATTTATGCCAAATCTGTGTAAAACATATTCTTCAGGTTATTTAATGAATAGACTTGCATAGGATGGAACATGTATTTCTATTTTTATTAGGTTTGTAAAATAAATCAAACTATTGCAAGCCAACTTAACATTTATTCAAGGAGCAATGTCGATCCCGCATTTCATAAAACTGTATCAGAAATCTAATATAGTATTCCGTCTTTGCGTATTGCAGAGTTTTCTTCTCTTTGGAGCAGGTATTAATTGTTACGTCATTGGTTTGTGTGAGAAAATTACGTCGTTTTCTCAAAAATTGATGACGTTACTCTCACAAACAAGTGACGTTACATCATATATTATATAGATATCTTATATAGTGACGAGATTTCACATTATACAGATATCTTATATAGTGACGAGGTTTCATATTATATAGATATCTTATATAGTGACAAGATTTCATATTATATAAGATATCTTATAAAGTGACGAGATTTCACATTATATAGATATCTTATATAGTGACGGTATTTCATATTATATAGATATCTTATATAATGGCGGTATTTCATATCATATAGATAATTTATATAGTGACGAGATTTCACATTATATAGATATCTTATATAGTGACGAGATTTCATATTATATAGATATCTTATATAGTGACGAGATTTTACATTATATAGATATATTATATAGTGACGAGATTTCATATTATATAGATATATTATCTAGTGACGGCATTTCATATTATATAGATATCTTATATAGTGACGAGATCTCACATTATATAGATATCTTATATAGTGACGAGAATTCATATTATATAGATGTCTTATATAGTGACAAGATTTCAAATTATATATGATATATTTTATAGTGACAAGATTTCAAATTATATAGATATCTTATATATTGACGAGATTTCAAATTATATAAGATATCTTATATAGTGACGAGATTTCATAATATATAAGATATCTTCTTTAGGGACGAGATTTCACATTATATAGATAACTTATATAGGGACGAGATTTCACATTATATAGATATCTTCTATAGTGAAGAGAATTCATATTATATCAGATATTTTTATAAAGTGGCGGTATTTCATATTATATAGATATTTTTATAAAGTGGTGGTATTTCACATTATATAGACATCTTATATAGTGACGAGATTTCATATTATATTGATATCTTATACAGTGACGAGATTTCACATTATATAGATATCTTATATATTGACGAGATTTCGCATTATATAGATATCTTATATAGTGACGAGATTTCATATTATATAGATATCTTATATAGTGACGAGATTTCACATTATATAGATATATTATAAAGTGACCAGATTTCATATTATATAGATATATTATATAGTGACGGCATTTCATATGGTATAGATATCTTATATAGTGACGAGATTTCACATTATATAGATATCTTATATAGTGACGAGAATTCACATTATATAGATATCTTATCTGGTGAGGAGATTTCATATTATATAGATATCTTATATAGTGACGAGATTTCACATTATATAGATATCTTGTATATTGACGAGATTTCACATTATATAGATATCTTATATAGTGACGAGATTTCATATTATATAGATATCTTATATAGTGACGAGATTTCACATTATATAGATATCTTATATAGTGACGAGAATTCATATTATATAGATATCTTATATAGTGACGAGATTTCATATTATATAGATATCTTATATAGTGACGAGATTTCACATTATATAGATATCTTATATAGTGACGAGATTTCATATTATATAGATATCTTATATAGTGACGAGATTTCACATTATATAGATATATTATATAGTGACGAGATTTCATATTATATAGATATATTATCTAGTGACGGCATTTCATATTATATAGATATCTTATATAGTGACGAGATTTCACATTATATAGATATCTTATATAGTGACGAGATTACATATTATATAGATATCTTATATAATGACAAGATTTCATATTATATAGATATCTTATATAGTGACGAGATTTCATATTATATAGATATCTTATATAGTGACGAGATTTCACATTATATAGATATCTTATATAGTGAAGAGATTACATATTATATAGATATCTTATATAGTGACGAGATTTCACATGATATAGATATCTTATATAGTGACGAGATTTCATATTATATAACATATCTTATACGTAATATGAGATATCTTATACATCATATGAGATATATTATACAGCATTTAATTTCTATATAAGATATCTTATATGGAATATATATATTTATTATATCTCATATACTATGTAAGATATCTTATACAGTTTTATGAAATTTGGGATCGTCATTGCTCCTTGAATAAATGTTAAACTGGCTTGCCATAGTAAACGATTTGTTTCTGTCGGGCTGCAATTATGAAATCGTGACGAGTTTCGTCAAACTCATATAAAAACTTAAGATCATTTTCAAGTGTTTTGATTATTGTAGATAAACACTTTCCAAGTCATTCTAAAAGTCTATAATCCTCCCATATAGACTTTATATTTAGTGTCTGTTTTACATGTAATTTAAGAATCACGATTTCTGTATCGTCACTTCTTTATCATTTTCTGACGTCACAATAGGGCATATTATAAAACTTAGTTTGTGAAATATTGGACAAAGTATATTCGACGAAAAACACAAAATTATTTTGATAAATATGTTTCAATGCGTGAGAGATGATGCTAACAAGGCAATACAGTGACTGATCACAACAGTACATGCACTGGCACAGTATACATGCAAAAATACACTTTCAAAAACGTCGCGATTGTTCTTGGACTCACCTTTTACTGAAATTCTTCGATTTGTGTCAAGATCACAAAAACATATATTTCGATTTTGGCTTTCTTTTGCATCACCCATAAAGCAGAAAATCTCGAAAAAAAGACACGCGAGACCAACCGGCGATCACGCGAGATCATCCGGTTTTAACGCGAGACCAACCGGTGTTAACGCGAAATCAACCAGTGATCACGCGAGAGAAATCGTGTTTTTACTGACCAATCCAAGTATGTACAAAAGCTCACAAACAATCCAACAATAGGCATACAAACAGGTAAACAACGCACACAAGCAGGACAAAGTCTTACAACGTCGGGTCCCTTTTCGAGTTTTCATTGGCCCCAACTAAACAATATCTCAGCAACAACATTGCGACAAGACGAAAAGCACTACATCTCTTCAAATATAATTAGCAATTAACCTAAACATAATATACTTCATTTGGCATGAATCACTTTATTTGAAACTGTTGGATAAATTGATGATTGCAAAGATTATGGCTGGATTTTTCGATGACTCAAGTGATATGAAAATAAACAGGTGACCGAAATGAATATAGAATATGACATTGAACCTTGGGATAGAGATCATTCTTATCAGAACAAGCGATAAGATATATATTGTAGATGGCGCTTTATACATCATATCCTGTACTGACATGTAAAATCCGGTTCAATTTCAGGTAATTCTAAATGGTTGGTTTATTAAATCAAAACACTCTATGAAAAGGATTTAATCAAAAACTATTTTGGTGGAAACACGTTGCTTTTAAAATAAAGGATACTTTTGTTTTTCGACTTGCCGCCCTTATTATAATAGAAGAAGCTAAGTTTATTCTTTTCTTTCAAAATTCTAGAAATGCGTTCGGTTTTTTCTTTTTATATGCAGTCTTTCCTCTTTCGGTTCAATGATCAACTTCGTTAAGATTGCACTCTCTCTCTGTGTATTGTAATCAATTCTATGTTGACGTGCTCAATGATTTTTTTGTAAATTGGTTGTAAAAAACATTTGTTGTGCTACAAACGGCGATAATCTCTTTAAAGGAACAAGGGTTTCTATCTTACAATTTTTGATATTTCATAAAAGAATAAAAAAATATTATACAAACTGTAGATACCGCATGACGTCTGATCAAGTTTTGAGAGCTAGCCGACGTATGATAATAGTTAGCAACGAACGAAGAAGTGGTTAGAGCATTATTTTCAAACTTCAGAAATCAGAAAACAAAATCAAACTAGCACATACATATTATGGATGTTATACGTCGCCTGTGACTTGAATCAAAATTCCTAATGAAAAATCAATATTTAGATAAAAACAAATAGAAGTAAGAGGAAAGGATCATGCATGGATGATATAAAATTAATAAGCATACTTATATCAATCCCGCCGATAGGTGGTAGTTGTGGGACTTGAGTTCCAAAAAACAGCTGAAATCCGCTATCGTCTCGTTTACCATCTTCACTTACAACAAGCGTACCTGCTAAACACAGAACAGCGACACACAAAAAGGACAACATATTTGTTCGGCAAGATTGACAGGTATTTCTACAGTACACCATACACTGTAGACCGACCAATGCCGACTACGAAAAAGGACAGGATATTTAATTATTCAGTCCCACCACAACTCTCTAGGACGTAAGATAAGATAAGGACAGATGGTGCCACCTGTCGGATTCCCGAACGTAGACCAAACTATGGCGTCTGTCCGATACGACACGGTCACCGCCACAGACTTGGTGTTCTGGCGACAGAGGGCAAGTCTTAGGCCACACTTCACGTAAAATGTGTTGTTCGGGGTGTATATCTGAGAGCCAACATTTTTAAAATGTACCTGTAAGACAACCTGTTTTGATAGAAATTGTAGTATTTTCCTCAAAAAGTGTCTGAGATCAAATAGGTAAATCTACCTGTTAAACTTACCTGCAATAACTCAAGTACATGTACCACATAGATAATGCAGGGACTAACATAATTATACAATCATGTTTTAATTATCATAAAATAAGCTAATACATGTCATATTCAATATGTAAATCACATAAAAATATACTGTATGCAGCACAATTAATTATAATTTAAGAACAAACTAATTAGTATTTTATTTATTTGTTAAGAACACACTAAATGAGTATCTTATCTTTTAGTTAACAAAAGAATATAGAAGTATATAATTGTAATTTACAGATACAGATTAGAACAATGTAATAAAGTACATTATTCAATACGTATAAAGGTGATTTTAGAATAAAAGAGGAATTATTCAACAATCAAATAAATTTGAAAGTGAAATTAAAAGAGGAGACATGTATAAGAAGAATTTTATTTTATGAGCATTCCTAAATAAAATAAATTCCCCATATTCATGAAATTAGGGAGAATGGTATGTGATTTTGGTATCGCGTATTAAACATGTACAAATACCATGCACATATTAGTAAAACGTCACCAATGAAATTCCTTGCAATTCCAAGAGTTTTAATTATTGGAGGAAAGTTTAAAACAAAGAAGGTGTCTGCACAAAAAGGTCCGTTTATCCGTGCTTTCTTTTATTTTTCGATATCTATTTACCACAAATTGGTATTGAAATGTTCACTCATTCAAAATGTTTTATGAATGTTTGTGCGTCGCATTGTTTTCAATGAAACACAATTGACAGAAGATAACTCCAACAAATTTAGTCATTTGAGTGATTGACTCTATGCTATTTGTTAATTAAATCGGACTGCAAAGCGTCGCGTTGACAAAGATGAAAACGAAGCTCAAACTGCAACTCAATTGGAAAAAAAATGTGAGCAAACAATGCAAGTGTTGATATAAATGTGTAGCTTTTTGAAAAAAAGGCCAATATGATTTGCGTATTGGGTGCAAAAAAATAGATTGCAGGCTAAGATGCTGGTTTTAAAACATCTTCAACTCTGCCATAGACTATCTCTGCTTGTTTTCATAACTGGACTCGTTCAAAGATATCATGTTTATAAATCGTCACAATTTAGGAGAAACAATTCGGATTTGAAGTCTTAAAAAATTATAACATAAGATGCTTTCGTTTCCTTTAATTTTCTTTTCCCTTCCAACATACCTCGAAGACAGAATGTTGTTTCTTAGTGACAGAAATTAATCAAAGAAAGTGTGGCGAAAACAGAAAGAAAATTGACTGCAGTATATTCATTTTCGATATTGAATCATACTATCGTGTATGTAAAGTAAAGGTACGAACAACAGATACGACGTTCAGTATAGCCTGACACTACCTGTAATGACGTTGCCTGCGGTAACACTACGTCACCAGTTTTGTTACCTACTAGGTGTACCGAGTCGTGCTACTAACTGACTTTAGCTTATCCTTTCCTTGGCCGCGTTTGTAGCAACCCCTAATGATACAACCAACCCCTAATGATACAACAATCAACCCCTAATGATACAACAATCAACCCCTAATGATACAACCTATCACTAATGATACAACCAACCCCTTATGATACAACAACCAATCCCTAAAGATACAACCAACCCCTAATGATACAATAACCAACCCCTAATGATACAACCAACCCCTTATGATACAACAACCAACCCCTAATGATACAACCAACTCATAATGATGATACAACAACCAACTCATAATGATGATACAACAACCAGCTCATAATGAAACAACAACAACCCCTAATGATACAACCAATACCTAATGATACAACAACCAACCCCTAATGATACAACCTATACCTAATGATACAACAACCAACCCCTAATGATACAACAACCAACCCTAATGATACAACCTATACCTAATGTGCAACAACCAACCCCTAATGATACAACAACCTATACCTAATGATACAACTAATACCTAATGATACAACAACCAACCCCTAATGATACAACCAACCCCTAATGATACAACAACCTATACCTAATGATACAACCAATACCAAATGATACAACCAATACGAAATGATACAACCAATACCAAATGATACAACCAGTACCAAATGATACAACCAATACCAAATGATACAACAACCAACCCCTAATGATACAACAACCATCCCCTAATGATACAACCTATACCTTATGATACAACAACCAAACCCTAATGATACAACCAATTCCAAATGATACAACCAATACCAAATGATACAACCTATACCTAATGATACAACAATCAACCCCTAATGATACAACAATCAACCCCTAATGATCCAACAACCAACCCCTAATGATACAACCAACCCCTAAAGATACAACAACTTATACCTAATGGTACAACAACCAACCCCTAATGGTACAACAACCAACCCCTAATGATACAACAACCATCCCCTAATGATACAACCTATACCTTATGATACAACAACCAACCCCTAATGATACAACAACCATCACCTAATGATACAACCTATACCTTATGATACAACAACCAAACCCTAATGATACAACCAATACCAAATGATACACCCAATACCAAATGATACAACCAACCCCTAATGATACAACCTATACCTACTGATACAACAACCAACCCCTAATGATACAACCATCAACCCCTAATGATACAACCTTCCACTAATGATACAACAACTAAATCCTAATGATACAACCAACCCCTAATGATACAACCAATCCCTAATGATACAACAACCAACCCCTAATCACACAACCAACCCCTAATGATACAACAACCTATACATAATGATACAACAACCACCCCCTAATGATACAACCAACCCCTAATGATACAACAACCAACCCTAATGATACAACCTATACCGAATGTGCAACAACCAACCCCTAATGATACAACAACCTATACATAATGATACAACAACCCGCTCCTAATGATACAACACCCAACCCCTAATGATACAACCAACCCCTAATGATACAACAACCTACACCTAATGATACAACTAATCCCTAATGATACAACAACCAACCCCTAATGATATGATACAACCAACCACTTATGATACAACAACCAACCCCTAATGATACAACCTATACCTACTGATACAACAACCAACCCCTAATGATACAACCATCAACCCCTAATGATACAACCTTCCACTAATGATACAACAACCATATCCTAATGATACAACCAACCCCTAATGATACAACAACCTACACCTAATGATACAACTAATCCCTAATGATACAACAACCAACCCCTAATGATATAACCAACCCCTAATGATACAACAATCAACCCCTAATGATACAACAATCAACCCCTAATGATCCAACAACCAACCCCTAATGATACACCAACCAACCCCTAATGATACAACAACCAACCCCTAATGATATAACCAACCCCTAATGATACAACAATCAACCCCTAATGATACAACAACCAACCCCTAATGATACAACCAACCCCTAATGATACAACAACTTATACCTAATGGTACAACAACCAACCCCTAATGATACAACAACCAACCCCTAATGATACAGTTTAGTTGCGATTTGATTACTTTATGATGTGTGTATCATTAGTGATTGGTTTTACCATTAGGGGTTGCTACACACACACCCATTCTTATTGTCCACCGTTTAAGATCCTCTCTACCTTTACATACCACGCAGCCCTTCTCTATTGTCCTCCTTAATGTTCCCTACCACGTACTTCTTCTTATCGTTCCTCTTTACAGTTCCCTTATCCCATTCGCTGATACATACCTTTTTTAATTCTCCATTCTGGAAGGTCCCCTTTAACATTATCTGCCACGCTTCTTATTCTTCATCATTGAAGCTCTTTTCCATTCCAATTTTCGTATCCTTTTCCTTGAACTTCCAATGAATGTTCTCTTCTTTCGTTTCATCACAGGTACATCTTCTGTAAGGACATTCGTTTGTGCTTGCCCTTTTCACTTTTTACATTTATATTATTTCGTTTTACAATTCTTATATCATTTTGTTACAATAACCCATTGAATTCAAAACATTATCCCTTATAATCAATATTAAGTGCAAAAATATGTATGTTAAGGCTGTGTGAGTCATTTCTTACATCCAATCCTTCATCCCCGCACACAGATCTTTGGGGACATAAAAGCGACCAAAAAATATCTGCTGCACCCATTGCAAATTTTAAGATATCTATCTCTCTTTCTTCTTCTAATTATCTAGTACCTAGCACCTTCCTTGACAATACCTCAATTTTAGCTATAGTGTTGTTGAGCTGCGTGCCTTCGGCATGGCATTTCAGTGAGATAGCACTATAAAGTCGGCATCAGGTTCGCGCTGTCACAAGGAGGAAAGCACATCAACAAACACTGTCCCCTGCGCAAGCTCGCATACACTTCACACATGGAGGCACGTCCTTAAATTACCTTAGCTGTTAATAGGACGTTAAACAAAATAAAACCAAACCAAACCTTTCAAACACCTCAAGCAGTTTCACATCCTCTCTTTCTTGTACTCGCCCCTTCTCTTCCCGACCTATTTACCGTAATCCAAGCCCCTAGCGTATCTGCTTTATGTTTCCTTTCCTACCCTTCCAACCCCTTCTTGACTCATTCCTTTCAGTTCCAGTCTCTACCCTACATGCATGCTCCCACATATCCTCGAATTCGTCATCTTCTATGTTTGATAACATCAAACTGTTTGAATGATTTCGGACCACT